ATCTGTTCCTTTAATAGGCCAGTCATATAGCTAGAATTCCAGCACAGGAGGTCACATACTTGATGGCTTAATAGCTCAGCTAAGGTTTACTATGTACTTTACCACCTATACACCTAGCTTTAAAAGGACAATTAATAATTTTGCCTGAATATAAGCACTGGACTCATTTAGAAGAAAGTGGTACAGAACTGTACACCAACATACTGAACTGAAGATTAAACTGATTAAACTGATTGGTTCAACAGATATCTCTAAAATGCAGTAGACATAACACTCACTGAACACAAAAAAGAATTAAATAAAAAGAAAAACAGGTCAGATGTTAAAATGACTTTCTTTATTCCTTCAAAACCTATAATGGCAGTTTTGGGGAAAAATGAATATGTTCCTGCTGCCACTAGAGGGAGACTTGAGTTCAAATATATCTAGCATAATTAAAATGACTTGGCTTCGTATGCGGCTAGCTAAGCTCTACCATGTAAAACTAAGCTGCAATGAAGCTGTAGCCTGTGTCTACCTGCTGGTAAGAACCTTCCTTATGTTTCTCCACCAAATCACAGTGATGCTCATATGACATCAAAAGGGGCTTATCCTTCTGTTGATGAACAAAAAAAAAATTAAAAGAAGTGAAACAGAAAAGTGCACAGGATAATAGTTAGTTGTACATTCACAAGGATGAGTCTGCAACTGCTTTATGATGTGTTTGTTAGCTGTGCTGCCTGCACTCTGTGGTTATGTGGCATTTAAAGATATCTGTGACATCAGCTCATGCTAAAAGTAGAATACTGGTAGTGACTGCACTGCGAAACCGGAGTTAGATTAATCGGACAAAATTTGATCCTTTTAGTCTACAACAGTGCTTTTTTTCATATGTCATTACGAATGTCATTGACAGGTGTGTGCCCACTGAGTTTCCAGGAAGTACATGTCAAGGCAGGTGAGATGGCGGTACTGCAGTGCCCTTCTTACAGAGAGTACCGTGATGGAGATGCTGAGGTGTTCTGGACCAGTCACACCGTGGATGAAATGAAACTCTTCAACATGTCAACATCAGCTGAGCAGAGGCAGATGGGTGTGCTGGTTCATGGAAGAATCCTTGTCATTCTCAGAGCTTCAGTAAACCATCAGGGGAATTACTCCTGCTCTTTTCGGTAAAATTTAATACAATTCCCACATTAACGGTTTAATTATCTAAGACTCACATCAAACAAAGCCACGGACCTGATTTATGAATAGATGTCGTGCCCACACACTGATATAAACTACTATTTCCTACACTACAGGATACCAGAGCAACATTTATCTTGTGGTTATTTTTGAAAGCTTGTTATCGAACATCCTTCAGCACCAGAAAAGCAATTTTTATCTTTGTCCTGAACCAGGTTACTTGTTGGCATTATGGTGTGAAACATCTATGTGACAATCATCCGAGGTTAGAAGAATCCAAAAGCACAACTGAGGATGCTAGGTTGTCGTAAATGCTAACATCTGCAAAGCAAAGATGCAGGGAGTTGAGGTCATGAACTTGGATGAGTTTAAATACCTGGAGTTAACAATTCAGAGGAATAGACAATGCACAAGAGAGGGAAAGGAGAGAGCACAGGAAGGGTGGAGCGGGTGGAGACTAGTCAGGTGATGTGTGACAGAAGGAGAACAGCAAGAGTGAAGGGGAAGGTTTTACAAGATAGGAGTGAGGCCTGCTATGATGTTTGCTTTGGAGACTGGAGCTGGCAAAAATAGAGCAGGTGGAGAGTCAAAGATGTGTATGTTTTCACTGGACATGACCAGCATGGCGAGGATCACTAAAGTCATTCAGATTCATCTTCTCTGAATTGTAAAGAATTGCACTAATCCAACATTGAAGTGATGGATTCAAAAAGAGAAGGAAATTAAACACTTTATATATTTTTATTTTCTCGACAGTAATTCCAGCAGGCGTTCCTGGATCAACCTCAGAGTATACACAGTGGAGTCCAGAGAGTCTGGAAAAATCACCCAGGACTCTAAAACATGTTACACAGATAAGTCCTGCACTTTATATTGCCATGATGAAAATATTCTCTTTGATACCTGGAATATCACCAGAAACAGCACTACATGTCACAAGGTAAACAGAGCAGATTATGTGAATAAGATCAAAGCAGTGTTTTACTGTTTTTCCATATACAACATATGTGCTATGTTGTAGGAGGGCGAGCCATCTCCAAAAGACGGTTACTTCTCGAGTGTGAAAAAAGAGGATAGTGACATCTATACCTGCACCTGGTCTTACCTGTATGATGGTCAAATATATAACATGACCACTATGGTGAAACTTGATGTCCAACCAAGCGGTAAGAAAAACACATTCTGTAAATTTTTATTTTCAAAGACTTTAATATGTGTTTTTCAAAATATCAGCCTTTTTTCTTTCTTTTTTTTTAATTTCCAAAGAAATAACTAAGAAAGCAGTGATAATTTCACCAAAGAACAACCAAGAATTTGA